AGGACGCCGGGTCGTCAGACGGGCTGAGGCTGAGGAGGGCGGTGCGTGGTGCGTCTATGGCCCCTGTGCTCACGTGGTGGGCGGGGAAGCAGCGGGGCCCCTTGCCTCAGCCCCGAGGCCTTACTTCTTGCTGCTGGGAGGGAAGCAGCCCCGCGCGCTGACAGCTGACCGGCTGAGGCACTGGGCCTGGGCCGTGCGAGCAGGGCTCAGAGGGCGCCTCCGAAGTCCAGAGCAGTCTGCGGCCTCGGCCTCGCCTGCCAACGGCCAGCTCCTGCTCTCGTGTCTCCCGCTGTTTATTTGTCTCCAGGGATTATGATGAGGCTCAGGCGCCTGCATGTCCTGGAAGGGGCTGGAATCCAAACACCAGAGCCTTGAAAATTGCTCCCGTGAAGGGTCACTTGAGACCTTTTCAATAGCAGGTGCCCTCGGCTGGACTCTGGGGCTTGTGCCGCTCGGCAGCTGGCGGCTTACAGCCCTGGACGCCCGGAGCCGACGGCAAGGTGACCCCACAGATGCGCTGGGGTGAGGCCCCTGCGGCTTCCTGGAGGAGCCAGTCCATGGACACCCTCGCTCATGGTCGCCGGCACCTCCGTGGCCATGCCGTCGCAAGCCCGGCTGCGCGGAGCCCGGTGAGCCCGCCGGTGCTGTCTGGGCGTGTCCCTCCCGCGGAGGACGGGAGCGGCGCCTGTCCCTGCTGCCTCAGACACGGGGCCGGGCGCGGTCCCCACCTTAGCCCGTTTAATCCTGACCGTGACGCCAGGAGCTTTGTCTCCACTCACACGGGAGGTGTAGCCGTCTCGTCTTCCCATGTTGCCAGGCCCCTGCCCCGTTCCTTATCTCCATGTGAGTGTCACACGCGCCGGTCACTGAGTCGCGTCCTGCCCTCTGACACGGCTGGGCTGGCGCTGAGGCCGGTTACACCCTGGGCTTCCGCGGGAGGGTCACGAAGGGTCTGTCCCTCTGGGTGTGTCTCGGCGCCCTGCCGGCGGGCTGCTGGGGGAGGGCCACGCAGAGCGGGCACGAGCAGGCAGGTGTTGGGGCAGCAACCGTGAGGGCGAGTGGCCGGGGCTCCCGCGCCAGCCCCCAGGCCATCAGCTTTCTAGGTTTTCCAGCCGAGGCCACAGACTCCAGCCCCACCCCTTCCCGACTCCCTGACCCACCGATCATGAGCACAGGGAAGTGGCCATTGCTTGTGCCTTTGGCTTGGGGGGCTGGGCGGGCGGCGAGGTCGCTAGGGCTCTGAGCGCAAAGCCGGGGTCCCAAGGGCACACGGCAGGCCCGTGTGGGAGGCTGGTGGCCCTGGCGGAGCTCCAGCATGCATGCCCCTCACCATCGCTGGGCACACCCAGGTATTTACAAGCCCTGCACCTCAGTGTCCACCCTTGGGGATGCCGCAGCCGACTGGTGCCTGGGAGGTGGGAGCGGGCCCAGGGGCAGTGAGGTGTAGCCGCAAGGGCCACTCCCCAAAGGACGCCTGTGGCCAGGGAGGCAGGCAGGTGCTCAGACTCGCTTCTGGCCCAGGCTGGAGCTCAGAGCAAGCCAGGGCTGGGCCGGGGATGCGGCTCAGACCTCTAGTCTACACAGCCCTGGTGGCCACCCCCCAGGAACAGCCTCCAAGTGCCCTCTGGCCGGGGCTGGGCATCGCCCAATAGGGAGATGCAAGTTGGGAGCCCCAGAGAGCTCGTGGCACGGGACACAGGGTCGCCGGGGGCCGGGGCACTGAGGAAAGGAAGGGACGTGATTGGCAGAGGAGGGAGGGCTGTCTGAATGCCTGCGATCCTCCGGGGGTCCTGACCTGCAGGGGAGCTGGGCACCAGCCAGCCCTGGCAGGTGGAGGCTTGTGCTTGTGCACCATACCTGCTGACCCTGCACTGGCTCTGTGCTTCTAAAGTGGTCCCTGGGCAGCATCCCGGTCCAGCAGCTCAGGTTTCACTGCCCGCTGCCGGGGCTGCGCCTGGGAACCGTGTGTTCCTCTCTCCAGGGGCAGTCTCCTGACCCCACTGTCTGGGGCGGGGCCTGGGGACCCGTGTTCCATTGCCGTCCCAGGTGATTCTGAGGCAGGGGTCCAGTGGAGACCCCTGAACCAGCCTGAGACCCAAAGCCGCCGTCATACTCCTGCGGCATCGGAGGCCGCGCCTCTTGGTGCCGCTGTTCCTGCGGCGTGCGCCCGCATCCTCACAAGCCTGTGCTGAAGTAGTTTATGGTCCAGGCTGTTGCCATCAGCTTCCCTGACGGCTCCCCTCAGCTCCCGTCCATCCGCAGATGCAGCAGTGACTCCGGCTGAGCGCTGGGAGGGGGCAGGGGTGGGAAGCCAGGCGTGTCCTCGCCCTGGGGCAGCATCCTGGTTGCCATGGCATTCGTGTGGGCTGCAGGGTCAGGCCGTCATTGGCTGGCGTGTCGGCCTCTGCTCATTGGCCTCCGGTTCCCATGGTGATCATTTTTAGGGTCCCCAACAAATGCATTAGCTGCGTTGTGGCAGAGAGTTCTCAGCCACCTGAGGGCCGCCCTCCCCGCTCAGACCTCTTGCTGGAGCGATGGTGTCCCCCCGGGCCGCGTTCCCACGTCCTCCAGCGCAGCCTAGTCTGAGCGCTCGTGTGATTCCCTCCTCCGTTCCCCTAGGGCCTCCCAGACCCTCTCGCTCCCCTACAGCTCACTGGAGCCAGGAAGGCCCTGCCCTGGGGAGGAGCGGGGAGTGGGCGGGGGAGAGGCTTGTTGCACCTGCTCGAGGGCCGGAGCCTGGGGGGACCACTGGCCGGAGACACGGCCTCGTGACCTGAGACAGAACGCACCCCCAGCGGGGCCCCCGGTTCCTTCTTGGTCACCCCATTGTCCGTGGGGTCCCCCTCGAGCCTCCCGTGGGGCCTCTGCTGCCCGCTGCGTGGTGCCGCCTTGGCTTGGTGTCCTCACCGCCCCGCCCTTGGCTTGGTGTCCTCACCGGTCCTCACCGCACCGTCGCATGCAAACAGCCCTCCCTCACCTAAACGCCCGTGTCTGCCCCGTGTGTTTAGAGTGAAACTCCACGTCTGACCCCCACAGCCGGGCCGACGTGCAGCTGCCCCAGCTCTGTGCGCGCCTGGTGCCTTCCTGCCTGCCCGTGCCTGAGAGAAGCCCTCGGAGCCCGTGCGAGCCCCTGGGCCTGCCACCCCGCACCGCCAGCCGCCGCGGCCCCCTTCGGCCTCCGCGCACCACACAGCGGCTGTCCCCAGCGGCCTTGCCACAGCCTGGCGTCCCCACAGCGAGGCCCCGCCCCGGGCCGCGGCCGGCTCCTAGCACAGGGCGGCAGGTGCGGCCGGGCCGTCAGTGCTGTCTGCCGAGGGAAGGGGGACGCTGGCCGCAAGCGGGGCTGCAGCGAGGGTGGCCCGACCAGGACGAATCCCTCCCTCACTGGTGCTGCCCCTCCGTACCCACATCCTGCTCGCCCCCCGCCCCCCATGGATGGAGAGTCGGGAAGACCCATTCAAATCCGGCCTTGGGGCGCCCAGAGCAGGCGGCAGAGGCGGCCCGTGATACCCTCATCTCGCCATCTGCGTACGCCTCGCAGCCAACCTGGGCGCTGACGGGAGGGTCAGAGTTGGTCGCGCCGAGCCCCTATGCCGTCGGGGCCCCGAGGGGGCACTCTGTCCCACTGGGATATCGGCGCTTACAAGCCCAAAGTCGGCAGAGGCTGGGGTGGCTTTGCCCTGAGCCTGAGCACGTGCACAGCCCTGCCTGGCAGCCAAGCGCCAGGCACACCCCGTGGACCCGGCGCTCTGCACCGCCCCCCATGGGAGCCTCCCAGACAAAGGCAGTGTGAGGGACGTGGGAGCCGACCCATTGGGTAAACTGGCGGTGCGTGCGACGTGGACCTTCCAGGATGAAGCCGCTCAGTCCGGGTTGCCCTCCGGTCGAAGGGATGAGACGGGCGCTGCTAAACGGAGCGCGATCGGGTTGGCCCTAAAAGTTGCAGTGGAAACAGCAGGGGGGCCGGCCACTCCCTCCCGGGCCTGCCTACAGCGCGACGCCATCCCCTGGAGCTTCCCTGCTCTGCAGCGTCACCCGGTTTGGCTGGCAGCGCCGGGACAGGGAGCAGCCTCAGCGGCCGCCCAGCAGCCCAGTCAGGGCGGCGTCCCCGGGTGGGGCAGGATGCTGCCGCAGAGAAGCCCAATTGGCACACGCTGGTCAGCACGACCAGGACAGACGCGGGGCGCGGACGCGGGACGACTGGGCAGAGCCAAGAGCGCACAGAACCCGGGGCCGGCGAGCAGGCGAGGACACGGGGGTCGAGGAGGGATGAGGGACGAGAAAATCAGTGAGCTGAGGTGTGTGAAATGAAGTTGGCCGAGCAGCGAAGCGAGGCTTACTCTCATGTGGAAGCGGCAAGAATGAACACAGAAGAGGAAAGGCTGGCGGTCACTAGCTGGAGCTGGACGCGACTGACGGCAGTTCCCCCGTTATGCCCCTGCCCTCCCCCCGTTCGCTTAGACCCTCTTCTCAAAAGAAGGCGTCCGAGTCCATCGCAGGCAGACAAGCGGGCGGCTGGGCTGGTGGGGCCGCCCTCGCTGACCTGACCCCTCGACCCCCGCCCCCGGAGTCTCCAGCCAGGGGGCTTTCCGGGTCGTTCCCAGAACCACGGGAAGGAGAAGCCTCTCAGAGAAGCAGAGACCAGGCGCTCCGGGGCCCCAGAGAGAGCCCCCTCAGCAGCCGCCCGGGTGGGCTCTGCCCTTGCTGCCGGCCCAGCAGTCAGCGGCCTTGCAGGGTGTCCAGGTGGAGCCAGCACAGGAGCCCCCCTTAGCCTCTGTTTGGGGGCAACGCCCAGACCTTGCCTGGCCTCCCGGGCCCTCCCGTCCTTAGGGTTACATGCCGCACCGGGTGCCAGAGCTGCCAGCCAGAGTGGCCGGAGCCATGCCCGGGTCGGCCCACCTGGTGGACACTGACCACGCTGGGACACTGAGCGCACGACTCCCAAAGCCCCCCCCCGCTCCCCACCGGCCCGCGAGACGCGGCGGGAGCGAGCGACTGACCTGGGCGAGATGTCGCAGCCCTGCTGCATGAAGGCCCCCAGGGAGAACCACAGGCTGTTGAAGATGCCGAACTCGTTGGTCTGGTCCCCGGCCGCCGGCTCCCGGCCCTCCTCCGGCTCCTCGCTGTGCCACTCGTAGGGGCTGAAGCGGCTGACCAGGAAGAGCACCACGCTCACGCCGATGTAGGCGAAGACGATGCACATCCAGATCTCGTAGGCCAGCGGGTCCAGGAAGGAGAAGACGCCCGGCTTGGACTTCTGCGGCTTCTTGATCATGATGGAGATGCCCAGGCTCATGAAGGGCTTGGAGAAGTCTATCACCTCCTCCCGCACCAGCGTGATGGTCAGAGGTGCCACCGCCACGTCCGCTCTCTGCAAGACAGCCCGGGGCGGCGCAGGTGAGCGGCCGCTGCGCACGGAGGACACCATGCCTCTCCCCTGAGAACGCTCGCTGCGTCTTAAAGGATCCAGGAAGCTGGGGCGTCCCTGCCAGCCCCCCTCCCCGAGATGCTTCAGGCCGTGGCCCCCATGTCTCCCGGGCACGCTCTGTGTTGCCCCGCCCGAGGGGCGCCTGCTCACCCTGCCGCAGGGGCCGTGGAGGGAGCCAGGCTCTGCTGCCCCCGCCCCGCGCCCATCGCCCCGGCTACGTGGCAAACCCCCATGCGGCCGTGGGGGTGAGTCCCCCGATAGGGCCGAGGAACGAAGCAGGCGCGTCCGTCCGCCGCGTGTCAGTTTGTTCAGAGCAACTATCACGAGGGGTCCCCGTGGGGCGCGGGACAGCCCCACAGAGCCCCTCCTGCTTGCACTCGGCCCTTCCCATGGGGCCCTCCTGAGCCCGTGCTCTGTCTCTGAGGTCACACACATGCACACTCATGCACTCGCCCAGTCTGCAAAGCTGGCCGTGCGCCTCCTGAGAGGGAGAGGCCTCCAGGGGCCGGGAGGGGCTCGCCTGGCCCGAGGGACAGCGCGGCATGGTGGGGACGCTGGCTCTGGCCCTGGGGAGGGCCGCATGGAAATCTGGCTTGGCAGAGAGACGGTAAAGGCCATCACGACTAATTTTTTGAGCGAGAAGACAGCTGAGACAGACACAGTCACTCAGTGTGTGCGCCAGTCCAGCAGGTGGTAGCATCGAAAGGTGCCAGCTGCCAGCCCTCCCGCGCGGCCAGCACGGGGGCTCCCCGGCTGTCTCTGCCTTTCCACCTCTCCCTGGTGGCAGTGGCATCCCTGCCCTGCTGGCCTGGGATCAAGAGATCCCGAAACCCACAGGCTCCTGGGCTGTGGCCACGCGTGTGTCTCTGACGTGAGACGCGCTGGAGTCTGCTCGGGCCCTGGCCTGCCAAGGGCTTGTCAGGAGTGCGGCTCCGGCAGGTGCCCACGGGTGAGGCCCCACCTGCCCTCGTGTGCTGGTGTGGGCTGGAGCAGAGCTCCCGGGTGCCCTGGCGGCCAGGGGCAGCAGCAGGGGCTCTGGGAGCGAGAAGCCTGGCGTAGACCGGTCGGCTGTGAAGGTGTAGTGATCCTTGTTTCCCTAGCACCACCGCAATCCTCTGGATAACTTACAAGGCTACAAAATGTGGGGCACGAGAGGCGATGCTTGCTGTCCTGCGGTGGCCCGCCGTGGCCCGTCCTGGCAGAGGGAGAGGAGGGCTGGTGCTGGGGGCACAGGGCCAGTCTGCCCAGCAGGGAGAGCATGTAGAGGCTTTGGGGGCTGCCTGGAGCACGGCCTGGCTTTGTCCGGGACCCTGGATGTGGCTCGGGAGAAGGGGCTGAGCCCTGGGCAACCAGAGAACCTGTCTCCTGGGTGCATGCTTCACCTGCACCTGCCGGGTGCCTTCCTCGGAACGTGGGATCCTTTTCCCTGGGGCATATTTGCGGCGGGTGTTACTATGTGCGCTGCCATGGTGGGTGCTGGGAGCGCGGCTGTGAGCAGAGCTTGGGGCTGGCTCCCCCGACCTCCCCAGCCCACCGGGCACGGGGCCTCCAGGAGGGCATGCAGAGGCGGTCTCAGGGGTCTGGTATTGGCCTGAGACCAGGGGTGCACTCTCAGCGAGACCTCGAGGGAGGCGCCAAGCCAGGGGCCTCACTCCGCGGAGAAGAGCCGGCTCACAGGTGGGGGTGCGGTCAGAGCAGCGGTTTGGCTTGTTGGACGCTGGCTGGGGGCTGCTTAGCACCCCCCCCCCCAGTCATAGCTGCTGCTCTGCGAGACGGTGGCCCTGGGCCGCGGCCCCTCCTCTTTAAAGCAGGCACTGTCATGTCTGCATCCCCGTTTGGCAGGATGCGCAGCGAGGGCGTCTCTGAGCGGGCGTGAGGTGTGAGCCCTGTGGGGCTCTCAGGGCTGCAGCTGCAGCGGTGGTGCCTCTGGAGCTTGATTAGGGAGCACCAGGTCGCCTGCAGGACTGGCAGAGCTGCAGGCAGAGCTCCCAATGCGGGGTCTGGGGGGACCTGAGGGTGTGCGTTTCTCATACATGCCCGGTGGCATTGCTGGGCCCATCCAGGGACTGCACATCGAGAACCAGCAACTTTGCGATCCCAGAACAAAAGGTGCAATGTCCAGACGCGGGCCTGGGCACGTGGTGGGCTCTGATGCTGTGGTGGGGGTTGCGCAGGGGGACAAGCGTCGGGTGGAGACCACTCTGCGCCCTCGGGTGGCTGTTCCCGCCCAGCCCATTTTGGGGCAGCGCCTGGCGGGATCTGTGGCTTGTAGGCTTCACGTCACTGGAGGTCTGCGGAGTTGGGCCTCAAAGCCAGGAGTCTGTGCAAAGTCCCTTCGCTCTGCTCCAGGAAGTCACAGCACAAGCGTCACCTGTGCCCCGGGCGGAGCGGCAGCAGGTGAGCGCAGAAGCGCCCCCGCCCTGCCCTGCTGCCCTTGGCCCCCCAGCCCCAGAGCTGGCGTGTCCCTCTGGGGCACCAGCCAGCTGCACCCCATCTCTGCTTTCACAGCGGCGTGTGCTGTGACGAGATCCTGCCCCCTTCCCCCACCCCCGGGTGTCCTGGGCGCAGGCCGGGGAAGGGCGGTGTCCTCCATGCGTGACAGGGAGGGGCGTGGCTTGCACGGGGCCCGTGTCCTGAGACTGACACCCTCGCGGTCACAACACGGTTGAGCTGCAGGACGTCAAGGCTGTGTCACAGCAGAGGGAGGGTGGCCGCGGAGGCCCCCGAGGGAGTCTTCCGGACCCCGCTGGTCGCCCGTGGCTGAGATCCTCCCAGGCCCTTCTGTTCTTCCTCGGGGAGCAGGAAAGGACCGTGGAAGGTCCGAGCTGCGGGGGTCACCGCACAGTCTCTACAAGGTGGTCTCCCTGGGCAGAGGGACCGGCTGGTGGGTCAGCTCAGGGGCAGTGGCCGTAGAGGCGGCCACAGGTGACCGGCTGAGGGCCGCTATGGGGTGTTCTATCCACCAGCATCTCGTCCTTGTCCTCAGGGCCCGTGGTCCCTGGTGGGCAGGTGGAGATGAGGGTCTTGGAGAGAGAAAGTTGACAGCAGTTGCCATGGGGATGACCTTAAGAGCTTGGTGGAGGTTCCCATGGAAACCGCCTCCAGAGGCAGGTCTCTGTCTCCAGCACGCGCCCGGCTGAGAGGGAGGGGGCAGAGGAAGCGGCGCTCCGTTCCCGCCTCCACCTGTCCCCGCCTACGCAGGTGCCCCCGGCGCCTCTTTCCGGGGCGTCCTCTGAGCTCCCGTCTCCCGAGCGTGCCCTCGGCCCCCACAGCTCGCGCCCCCACACGAGGCTTGAAGGTTCCTAAACGGTCTCTCCTGCTGCCCAGACTCAGAGTGGACACACACCCTGCCAGGGGCAGGGTCTTCGTTGCTGAGGCCGCCCGGGGGTCCCTCTCCGGTTCTCTGTGGCCTCCTGTCCTCCTTGTGCTCAAGGACCTTCCTGATAGCCCAGCGCCCACGACTCGGCCCCACACGCCCATTTCTTACTCCTGCCTCCTGACTGGCCTCCAGAGTCACCGCCCCGCGCAGCCGCTGGGTGTGCATTTGGGGCATCCCCCGTGGAGGTGGCCACTGCTCGGGGTGGCTGAACCACCAGGAGCCTGTGGGCTGTCCCTTGCTACTGGGCAGGAGGCTTCAACTGCTCACCCTCCTGGGCTTTCCTACCCCACGTGTGTGATGCGCTTTTGGGCCAGGGCAGATACTTTTCTTCGCCTGTTCCCTGAGCAGCTGAAGGGATCTGGGTATGTGGTGGCCCCTCAAAGCCGTGGCTCGCTGAAGGCTCCCTGGCAGCTGTGCACGGCGTCACCCCAGGCGTGGTGGTGACAGGGACACGGGCCTTTGCTCGCCACACAGATGGCTGCCCCAGGCACCGCCATCCCGCAGCGTGGGGCCCAACCCTACAGGCAGCAGGGCAGCTGAAAGGGAGGTTGAGTCCTGGTTTGGGGAGAAAGAAATGACCCCCTGGAGAAAGTAACATTGATCAGGCTTCGGAGGAGGGTGGGAGGCAGCCGGAGGGGCGCTCGTGGAGCAGGCGACCCGGCGGTGCCTGGCTAAAGGGAAGGTGCTGGACGGCGTGCTGGCCACGGGCACCATCACGTCTTGGGGGACATCACCCGGCCATGAGCCCGGCTGTGTTTGGCTGGGAGTGTCCAGGACGTTCACAAAGAAGGTCCAGACGCTGAACTCTGGGGTCCTTGTCTTTCCCGGCAACAGCACAGGGCTAGGGGCCCCATGGGCACCGCGGCCCGCCCGCCCGCCGCCCAGCCCCTCCCGGCAGTGCACCCCGCCCGCGGGCACCTACCCCGTAGACCAGCTCGCCCACCATGCCGTTCCAGGCCTTGGTGTCGGGGTCGCGGGCGCCGTACTTGCCGTCGCCCACGATCTCCAGGCGGTAGGAGTAGCCCACGTGCTTGGCGATCTCGGCGGCCAGCTCCACGCAGTAGCCCTCGTAGCGGTCATTGCCCTCGAACTGGTTGGCATTCTTCTTGAGCATCACGTACGGGTCCTCCTGGGTGGGGGGGGGCGGTGGTGACGGCCGGCTCTGGCGGGGAGCGCTCCGGCCGCGGTGCACACGGGGCCTCCCTGGCGTCCTGCCCCCAGGACGAGACCTCTGGGGTCAGGGCGCGGATGTCGTTGAGACAAGGACGCCGCATCACCCAGTGTGGCGCCAGCTGTTCAGGACACGGGCGGGGCGCTTGTGTGCTCTGGAGGGAATTCTGGGGCGCCGAGATGGGGGAGCGAGTCAAGCTAGACTCCAGGTCTGGGCGTGACAACAGCCTCCCCAACAGGTGCTGAAGTGCCGGACACTGGGGGCTGTGGTGGGGCGTCTCCGACGGAGTGTGGGGTGTGACGCTACCACAGCAGCCTCTGTCTTGGAGACGACGGCCCCAGGGAGGCCGAGGGGCGGGTCCAGGGCCATGGAGTAAAATTGTGCCGGAGCCAGAGCCAAGCCAGCGCCCCTGCTCCTGGAGCCTTCCTTCCCCTGCACCCCCCGCCCCCCCGCTGCCTGCTCTGTGGCATAACAGCCCCTGGGAAAACCTTTGAGTGGGTCCCACTTGCATCCCGCGCACCCCGAAGAAGGCTGAGACTCACGAGGATGGTGGTGACGATGTATGTTCTGTTTTGCACACTCGAGTTATCGCCGCCTGCTTGAGCATCGGTGGCCGCCGGGACAAACTTGTCATCCTCGTTCCAGTAGCCGATCTGCTCGCGGGGAAGGAGAGGGAGGACACGGGTGGGCAGGGCTCGCGACGGCCTGTCCAGGGCTCCAGACCAGGCCACGGGCGCTCGGCCCCGCATCCGGCAGGGGACCGCCTGGCTCCAAGGGGCGAGGGGCGGATGGAGCGAGAGGCTGAGGCGGGCCGGGAGCCCAGCCCGGCCCCTGGAGGCCTCACCACGTTGGCTCGGTCGCCCCCGTGACTACGCCTGAACCTCTCCCTCATGAGCTCTCTGCTGGCAGCCGGGGTCAAGTTCAAACAACACCTTCCCTTTGTTTCTCTTTAGGTTAACTGTATTTTTCCATCTCAACTTAATTTCACGAGGGATGGTTATTTTACCCGGTATTTCCAGTCACACTTATAATAAAACCCCGGGGCAACATCAATTTTTAAAAAAATCCAGGAGGATTTGCATTTCAGAAGTCCAGTTTGATAGCTCTGGTGGGGGACGCAAAGCCATGGCCCCTGCTGCGTGCGCAGCTCGTCCCGGGAGCGAGAGGTGGAGCGCCTGCTCTGAGAACCGCCCGTGCACCGGGAGACGCGACCCCATGCTCAGAGGCTCGACCTCTTTGGGCCTCGGTTCCCGCTCTGCAGCACGGATACCGGCCTGCGCGTCACCGCCGCTGAGAACTGGGGGGCCCCCCGCGTGGACACGGGGAGCGGGGCCCGTGGCCGTGCCGGGTGGTCGGGAAACTGGAGAGCGGCCCTCACGAGGTGGGGCCGGCCGGGCTGGGCTGCCCGCGGCCACCCTCTCGTTCAAGGTCCACCGTTGAATGGGCTCAGCCGCCGAAAGCGGTGGAGACTGCGGGTCCCTTCCCAACGCGCTTGGCAGTGTGACCCCCGCACTGGCCGCTGTCCTAGGGTGTGTGGTTCAAGCCCGTGAGGACTGCTCTCAGGTGTCAGTTATTTCAATGAAAAGTAGAGAGAAAGGCAAGATAGATCTGCATAGAGCAGACTTTTATGACTGAGAAAGAGACTGACTGGAGGCGAGCGGGCCTCCGAGCTCGCAGCACAGCGGGCGTGCCCTGGGGTCCTGGATGCACCGTCGCGCCGGCTGGGATGCGGCCGCCCTGGGCGGGAAGCTGGAGGGCTTGGCCAGGGCCAGCACCAAGCTCATTTTACTCCGAGCCCCCTTTTAGGGAAATTAGACCATGTTGGGGAGTCCGAACGGCCAGCGCGGGCCCCGCTCCCCTGGGGCTCGGGTGAGCCCCTGCCGGGTGCCGAGAGGAAGGCTGGCGACACCTCGAATGACATCGCCTTTCGTTGCTGAGAGCAGACCCCCCTTTCCGGAGCCGCGGCTGTGATTACACAGCCTTTGATTCTCGGCTGAGGCCACTTTGATTCCACCTGAAAGTAAATCAGAGCCAGGAGTTGGGCAGAGAGGGGGGCCCGCCGTCCGGGAGAGGCTTTAAACAATTCTGACAGCGAGGGGCCTCCCCCCGGGGCCAGGTATCACTTTTCATGTCCCGCTTTCCTTCTGCCTCCAAAGGCTCTTTGAGTGGAGGAAATGAGTCTGGGTGATAGATCTGAGCTTTTTCAAAGTGGATGAAGCCTAAGAAGGGAAGATCACAGCCCTGCACGGAATGGGTCTGCCTCGCACTGTCTTCAAATCAGATTTACACACTCGCGCTCCGAGGCGCCTCTCAAGACCCGGCCCCGGCCTCCAAAAATGGGATCCCTCATTATCACTTCCAAGCCAGCGTGTAGCTCCCCACTGCCATGCCCCCCGAGGCCGCTGGTTCGCCCTCCTGGCAGAGGGTGTGGCTGGCAGTTACCTGCAGCAATTACATCTTCCGGCCCTTGGAGCCGAGCCAGCACACTTAAAGCGGGTGGAACTCTGCGAGTTTGAACTTAGGCGACTTAATCTGAGCTCTCCTGGAAGTGTTATCTCCACCAGCCTCTCACTTGCCGCCAGATCTGTGGGGCGGCTGTTCTTTGTTTCTCCGCGGCCGGGTGCCCGCCTGTCCTTCTGGCGACCCTCTCTCTGTGTGGCTCACCAGCACCAGTGCATGCGGCCCCCAGGACTCCCCGAGGGCACCGCACCTCAGCCGGCCGGGGCTCGGGAACCTCGGCGAGAGCCAGCCCAGCGGTGGTGCCTGGTCCTGGGGGGCTGCACGGGGGCCGCGGGTGCGGAGCAGAAGCGCTGTTTCAGCAACGAGTGTGGCTGTGTGCCCAGGAAACTTACGGACACCGAAGTTTTAATTTCATACCGTTTCCACATGTTATGAAATAGGCATCTTTTGATCCACTTCAGCCATCTGAAAACACAACCCCCTCTGCTCATGGGTGCGGGACAGGCAGGTGCTGGGTTTGGAAGCCTGTCACCCTGTCGGGACCCAAGAGGCAGGAGGACGGCATCGGGTACGGGCTGAGCGGAGGCGTGAGGCGGCGTGGCCAGGCCTGGGCACCCAGATGGCCCATCAGAGACGCTGCCTGCTGAGACCAGGTGGTCAGCCCAGCCCAGCGCAGGGAGCCACACGGGGGTGGGGGCTGGGGGGGGGGAAGAGGAACAGCCAGGGCAGATGCCCCGAGGAAGGGGCTTTCTGGGATCTGGGGGCAGAGAGGCCAGTGCAGCCTTGGGAGTGGCCGGCGAGAGGAGGGCAGCTGGACCAGCCTCAGCCGTGAGTGCTCACCTGAGCTGGCAGGCAGCCCGCTCGACACATACTGAGACTTCCTGGCTGGTTTTGTGGTGGGAAATGGCCTCGTGGGGCCGGGAAGACAGCCGCCAGGACTGGCGAGGGGCGCGGGGGTGCGGGCGTGAGCTCTGGGCAGCGGAGCAGGGAGCAGTGGCTGGATTGAGCTGCGTCTGCCGGCCGAGCAGGGCTCGGTGCCCCAACTCAGAACCACAGGTTTAGAGGCGCACTCAGGACAGGTGGCGTGGGAGGCCGTGTGCACCTGGGGACTCGAGATCCCTTTGGCAGCCACGGGGCTCTCTGTCACCTCCGTCTTTCCCTGCACAGGGTAGATAGAACTGGGGATGAGAGACAAGCTCGGGGTGGGGGAGCCCCGAGTCAGGTGGAAATGGCGGATGCTGCCAGCGGGCCCGGAGATAGCTGTGGGCCGAGCGAGGGGCAGAGGCGATCAAGGTGCTGGGGCCCTCGTGAGTTGCCTGGAGAACCCCTGCCTGTCTCCCAGGCAGCCGCATATCAGAATGTGTGACTCTGGATTTGACAAGGTGTTTATCTGGGCAGAAAACCTAAACCAGCGCCCCGTGGTGACACTGTGCCTCTGACGGGGTTTCCTAAGGGTTTGGCTTGTGCAGAAGCAGCGCCGGGCCTGGCACCCATACCCCGCAGTGTGATGGGCAGACGCCCCAAGCACAGTGCGGGCCCAGCAGCGGGCTGCACCGAGGGCCAGGAGGGCAGCCCTTCCTCATCGCACACTGCAGGCGGGGCGCAGCCAGATTGCCCTGGAGTCTCAGAAATTCCTTTGTTGGGAACTGATCGAGAAAAGGGCCTGAAGCCACAGATAACGGAGGAATTGATTTTCTGAAAGTCAGGTCCCCTGTAAGCAAAGACTGCCTAAGCCACATTCTAAGGAAGGATTTAGTCATTGGCAAGTAGCTTGAAAAACAGCCTCAGGATCGGAAAAAAAAAGCACAGGCATTTGCTTGTGGATTTTAGGGTTACTATGTTATTTTTGTGGGCGATTTATCCCTCCCCATTGTCTGACTCACTCCAACTCCAGGCTGACATAAGATCCCTGTGGTCTACGAAGGGAGTTTCAACCAACCAACCAACCAGCCATCCATCCAATCAACCAACCAACCAACCAGCCATCAACCAACCAACCAGACAACCATCTAATCACCCAACTAATCAACCAACCATCCAATCAACCAACTAACCAACCAGCCATCAACCAACCAACCAGCCAGCCAACCAACTAACCATCCAACCATTGAACCAACCAACCAACCAATTAACCATCCAGTTATCCAGTCAATCAGCCAACCAACCAACCATCCAATCAACCAACCAACCAGCCAACCAAACAACCAACCAACTAACCATCCAACCAACCAACCAACCGACCGACCAAATAACCAGCCATCCGGCCATGGGTTGGTGTCCACACTAGGTGCTGCTTTTTTGTCGCCACAGGCCATAGGCAAAGTGGACATTGCTTCATCTACTCCTGACAGCGATCCTGTGGACAAAGGGTTGCCACCCTCTTCTGGGGGGTGCACCTGAGGTGGAGGGAGGCTAAGGAATGAGTTCAAGGTGACATGGCCAGTAAAGAAGAAAGCCCAGACTTGAGCCCTGGCCTTACACCTGGTGACCCTGGTGCGGGCATCTCTCACCAGAGTGCCAGAGCCCCGTGAGCCCATAGGCTGCAGGGCCGTTTCAGATGTGCAGGAGCCAGACCCTCATCCCCCAGCCGAGACCCCGAGGTCTATATTTTTAACAAGGCTGCCTCGGTCCTGACGGCGCTCCTCCTAGGGGGTTCCTGGGAACTGTGCGTGGTGAGGAGATGCCGGTGCCAGGAGCAGTGAGGGGGCAGCCGTGGGAGGGCACAGCCATAGATGACTGCCACCCCCCCGCCCCTGAGGAAGCCTGAGTGAGCTAGGAGAGAGGCTGGGGCCGTGCTGTTGACAGCTGCTCACCCACTGTACCCCTGGGCACTGCCAGTGCCCCCATTTTATAGCTGTGGAAATGGCAGCTGGGTGAAGGAACCCAGCGGACATATTCTCTGACACAGGAGCCAGGAGCCTGGGGAAACTGAACTCTAGCTGGGTGGCGTCAGAGGGTTACCCCTCATTGTGCGGTCAGTCCTGGGGGGAGTGTCCTGCTGTACCCCAAGTTTTGCTGAAATTTAGGCATGATCCTGGGAGCTGCAGCCCCAGGCGGCCAGGCGCCCTGGTGCCTTCTGAGAGCGTCCAGCACGGGCATTGGCAGTCGTCCTCAGCGTGTGCCTGGGACCAGGGGAGTGTGGGGCTCCTGCTGGGCAGGTGTGCTCTGGGGACACGGACACGAGGGGCTTTGTTGGGGGACGGCTTGGGGACGGGGCCACCCAGCCTCAGCGGATGGCGGGGCCAGCCCTGAAATGTCCACACTCCACCCGCTCACCCAAGAACATGGTGCCCCGCCAGGCAGAAGGGGCACTGCAGATGCCGCTGTGGCCACATCCTGTGGGGAGACTCCTGGGTCACCTGGGTGGCCCTGCCCGGCTACTGGGGTCCTTAAAACAGAGGACCCTTGTGTGTGGGGGGGACAGTGACTTTGGTTCCATCTGGAAGTAAATCAGAGCTAGGATCTTGGCGGAGCTTGGGGCTCGCGTCCGGGAGCGGACTCGAGGGCTGTCGTAGACCCCGCAGGTGCGCGCGTCACGCGTGACCGCCTGCTCCTCGCGCGACCTCTGTGCGGGAAAGGGGCGGCGTGGCCCGGGGGGGGGCGGGGAGGACAGCGCGCCGGTCATCGCCATCTCAAGCTCGCCCCTCGGACCCCTCTGCCATGGCCGCGGTTTCCACCCAGGGCTGGAGGGGTTCGAAGTCCCTTCCCAGTCCGGGGCCTTCACCCGGGGAAGGTGGAGCTTTTCCTCTCCATCTGGCAGGGGAGCAGATCGGGTGGGGGAGAGGGGAGCTGGCAGCGCCGATCCGGGCTCCCTGAGGCCGGTGGTCCTGCCTGCAGGGGACGGGGCTGCTCCCTGAGGCTGGCGGCCTTGCCCGGGGCGGGGGCTCTCACCTTGCGGACGCCGTCGTGCCTCATCTCGATGACGTGCAGCGTGTAGTTGGTCCGCCGGCCCTTCTCGTTGAACTGCACGTTCCCGGTCAGGCCCTCAAAGCGCACCTGGAAGGCAGAGCCGCATGAGCAGCGAGCCCGGCCGGCCCCTCTACCCCTGCCCAGCGGCGTCCCCTGCAGCCCAGCGCGCGCCCCGGCACCCCTGTGCTCTCAGCAGGGGCTCCTGCGCCCCTCCAGCTCTCACCCCGTCACCACCACCTCCAGGAACCCCCAGAGCCCTCAGGTGGGGAGCGAGGGGAGGCGCCCACTGTGCTCCGGGCGGCAGTGCCTGAACCGGCTGCTCGCCCCTGGGGAGCAGAGGGTGAGTATGGGGCCCCGGAGACTGCCCGGTTTTCCTCAGCCCCATGGCCTTGGGCGGCTCACGCTTCAGGCCTCCAGCTGCCTGAGCCCCATGGTCGACCTGGGCCGGGGAGCAGGGGCCCTCGCGCCCGGCAGCCTGGCCTGAGCCCAGGGGGCGGCTCCAGCAAGGCCTGTGACACGGATCAGTCCAGGGCCCCCCTGGTTCCTTCTCAAATGAATCACATCAAGGCCTCGGGGCGCCGAGCTCCTATTGAGATCAAGTGGTTGACAAGGGGGACCTGAGGCCTCAGGGCTTGGTGAAGCCCACCAGCCCCCCTGAACTTGGGGGTGAGTCTGCTGTGCACCACGGGCTCACCTACAAGGAGCCACCTTCTCCGGTGGGGGCGCCGCGGGCCCCCAGCCCGGCACCTGGGACCGCGGGTCCCCTGCACGCTCTTGGAAGTGCTGCCGGGCACTGGCCACCGCTGCTGGCTGGGCCGGGCTCCGCGTGTCCCCTGCTGGCCCGGCCTTTGCAGCGCAGAGCAGAGCCGTTGGGGCCCCCGGGCCTGTCCCTGCCCTGTGCCTCAGCCGTTCTCAAGGACAAACAGAACTGATGGCCGCAAAGTGGAGAAGCCAGGACCTGGAGTGGACACGGGGCCGGGGCAGTCTGGGAAGTCAGGGCCGGGGCGGTCTCGGGGAGTCGGTGAAGACGGCTCCTTTCACCCTGCGCGTCTCACCCCCTTTATACCTGCCCGGAATAAATCCTAAGCCGAAAACGTGGCCCTGAAGGGACAGGGATGACCGCTCCACGCGCCTGCGTTTGAACTGGTACCTGGGCGTCTGCGCTCGTCCCTGCAGGGGCCCGCGGGCCACGGCGCCAGGCCCGGCCTCCCCGTTCTTCAAACAGCTGCTGTGCCTGAGCCCGAGCCCCCCCCACACCGTGACCTGCCCCCCCTGCCCCGCCCCGCGGCCGCCTCACCTGCTGCAGGGCTCTCTGGATGTCGATGCCCTGGCCCCAGGGCACGGCGGGGTTGGCCAGGCAGTCCCCCGCGTTCCCCCGGCGGGAGATGTCGATCCGCTGCCTCCGCAGGCTCTGGAAGGCCTCGGCCATCACCTTCACCCCGTCGTAGGTGAGTGCGGAGGTGTACTGTGGGGAGTCGGGCGTCAGCGCCCGCAGGAGGCGGGAGGCGAGCAGGGGTGGGCAGGACGGGCGGCCGTGGGGGCCGGGAGGGCCTCACAGGGGCTGCCCCCACCTGCCGCCTCCCACCCGCCCCACCGGGGTGTCCGCGAGGCATCTGCAGGTCACATGCGTTGTGGAAAACCCCTGGGTTCCCCTGTGCCGTGTGCCCTGTGACTGCGGCGGGAAGTCGCCCAGGGCCCTGCTCCCGCAGGCCCCCCCGCACCCCCCCTCTGGCGGCCATGGGCTGCCAGCTTTCCTTTCACTCGTTGGCGAGGACTCTCGAGTTACCCCCGACTCATGGGCTGAGCTGCTGGTGAAAGGCGACAGGCCCGTCCCAGGCCCGGGCCCTGCCTCTCCCCCGCTCCCGGGCCGTGACTAGCCCCTCGGCACGGTCTAGTTCGCGTCAGAGAGTTGTAGCGTGGATGGGAAAGTGTCGCCCCAATTTTAACTGTGACCCTCTTACTCTTGAAAAAGAGATCGGCTACCACGTTACCCCTCCGCTCTGCGGGGACCCCCCCCCCCCCCCCGCGCCGGCCGGGCGCCCGCTCTGCGGCTGCCTGGTGGCTTTAGGGCGCGCTTAGTGGCTTTGTTTGCCGAAGCGCCTATTGAAATAAGTCTTCATTTCTGGATCGCTAAGTCAGCCTGGGCCCGAGTGGCGTGGAAGCCGTCACTCGGTAAACACTGCCGCTCGCAGAGAACGGGCTGAGTGGCAAGAGAAAGCCGCCAAGGAGCCCGTGTTTGCCCCAGATAAACAAACTTGGCCTCAGAATGCTTCCCGCACGGCTCCCACACAGCCCTGTCGCAGAGCTGACAAGGGCAGGCAGGGCAGTGCCTGCTCCCCATATTCCGAGACATTAGGAAGAGCAAACAAAATAGATTCTGGCTGCAGGCTTTGGCTGCTGAGAGCAGTCTGCATGATAATTGGGGCGCGTCTCCCCAGCAGAGGGCGGGGGCTGTTCCTTGGACTGCCTGACAGGAGCCGAGAGGCTGAGCAGAGCAGGGCCGGCCCCCGCGGCAGGGCCTCCATGCACAGAGTAGTGGGCGCGGATGCCACCCCTTCCCCTCCCTGCCCCCGCTGTGCAGCAGCCCTGCCCAGAAGAGAGAGTCACGCTTCTGGCTTCTCCACAACTGGTAGGGACGCGTTCCCGAGAGGTGGCCAGTAGCACGTGAGTGGAAAATTCATTGCCACTTCCCAAAGGGCTCTACAGAGAAGCAGTTGTGCTTTAGTTTTCCCTCTCGGCTGGGCAGAGGACTGAGGTGATGGCTGGCGCTTCAGCAGCCGTGTTGGGCTCTGAGGCAGCAGCCGCAGGCTGAGACTGGAACAAGAAGGTGGGCGGCAGCCTGGGTGCTGGGTGACTGTGGCGCTATTGCTGCCTGAGCCTGGATTTTATTCTCAGGAGAGAACTGTGAAGCGTCTTGCTAAGCCCTCATCACTCTGGCCCTCGGCCCTCTCCCTCTTTGTGGGCCCCCTGGGCCCCTCGCTCAGGGAAGCATCTCCTCCTCGGGCCGGAGGCACCGCACCTCACCTTGGGTCTCTTCCAGTCCACGCGGGTGTGGTCTCGGGCGTCGCTGCTCTTCCACTGCTGCATGATCTTGGCCGGGACCGTGTCTGTGTAGTTGACCAGCTGGAAGCCTGTCACGTTCGCGCCGCTCTCCTTGAACTTGTTTAAGTCGATGTCCATGAAGCCCTGCGCAGGGAGGGGGACGGGGAGCAGGTTCAGAACCCGCAGGTTCCCTTAAAGGAGACACGCGCACCCTCCCTGCCCCCTGCACTGGCTGTCACTTCTCATAGAGCGGCAAAGCAGAGCACCGGCCGGGAGCACTGACAGGGAGTACCGCCGGGAGCACCAGCACGGCCCGCCGCTGCGCGTGGAGGATGCTTGCGACCCCTGGTGTGTCTAGTGATGTGTCTGCTCCCCCGCGGCCCTCTGAGCCTGGAGCCAGGGCCACATGTCCCGCTGCGAAGGAGGAACACGCTGGGTGGCGTGGGGTTGGCTCCGGCTGATCTGGCCTTGCAAAGCTGGTGTTTTCGCTGATTTCCTGCCCACAAATCCCTCCTCACCCACAGCCTCCTTCCTGCCGCTCCCCTTCCAACAGCCCCAAAGCTGGTTATCGGGGCCCTAAAGCAGCCCCACAGTGACCAGCGAGGAGGATGGGCATGAAGCCCCCGCCTTCTGACGGGGGTGAGAGTACGTCAGGTCAGCATGCTCCTCCCGCCCCTCGGTGAACCTTCTGGAGGCCTCCCTGGGCTCTGCCTCGGGAACCATCTCCTCGTCACACTCGCGGGGAGGTCAGTTCTCCGCGGCCACAGGCTAATTATGTGGCAGAATTTCTAGAAATTATCATCTTATAAATCGTGTTATTCCTCTGAAGGGGAAGAAAAACACACCACTTACTTGACTATGTTTCAAACTGAATTAATTAGTAATTTGAAGCCTAATTATCAACTAATCTATTGGAACATGCGTGTCTTTGTATTTGGATGGTGTGTGCAATTTGCATCCCATTAGCTGCCAGTCGCCAGGATCTGAGAGCTGGTAGGTCAGGAGGAGGAGGATGCAGATGAGAAGGAGACAGACCCCCCCGGGGGCTGACTTGGGGGTGTCATGCCTGAGGGTCACTCAGCAACCGAGGGAGGCTGGCGTGTAATTGTCTGGAGCCTCCAGTGGCCTGAGGCCACGGCCGTTGCATTTCGGTCCTGCCTCAGGGCAGGGCTCGGCCTGGCTGTGTCTGCCCCACAGGCTGCTCTGAGGGTCTCCAGGAAACCCTGGAGAGGGCACCAGACGCTGCCACTGGCCCCGCGCTTCCAGTCTCTGTTGCTGGCTCATGTGGGACCAGGCCTACCCGCTGGCTGGCGGCTTCCCCACAGCAGAGGCAGCTTAGGCCTGGAGGGGGGGGTGCTCCCGGTCCCTACAGCTTAGACGGGGTGGGGGGGTGGGGTGCCTGAGGTGTCTCCAGCACCAAGGCCTGGGACCTGCGGGCTTCCTCTGTGGCATCAAAGTAACTGTCCTCGCAAATGTTCTTTATGGGTTAAGATCCTCAGTTCCCCAAAAGCCACTGGACAGTCGCCCCCCCTTAAAACGCATAGAGTTGTGAAAAGTCACAGCTTCGCCTCAGCAGCCAGGCCCGAGTTAGCCTGGCCCAGGAGCGCTTCTGCTTGCATCCCTGAGACAGAAACGAGGGGACCGGCCAGGCGAGAGGCACAGGGCCGGGGGGAGGGCGCGTCTGTCTCACCCCAGCAGGGCGCAGCTCCGGCCCCGCTCTCTGCCGCTGCTGCGCTGACCTGTACACTCAGCCCTCGCCTGTCATCTGCTCACACCTGTCTTTGCTCCCCAAGTAAGGAGAAGTAAGATGCTTTCCTTCGGTTCATGACTGGTAGCTCCCATAGACGCCATCAGCACAAGGTAGCAGAGCTCAAGCCCGCGTGACGCCAGCCACCCTGGACAAGCTGCAAGTCACGTTTTCGTGGAAGCAGAAAATTGCACAGAGAAGCAGCGTCAGCTGTCAGGGCAGCTGGGCACGGCTCAGACCTCCGCAGTGAAGTTTGTTATTGATGAAAATATTTAATCAATATGAAAATTTGTTATTGGATGGGAGATGCAGCCGCTTTGGAAAGTAACTTCGGGATCCCTCAAAAGTCAAGACTTGGAATCACATGTGGCCCGCGGCCCCAGCACCCCCTCAAGGGCAGTCATCAGAAAGGGGGCAGCCGTGTCCCCACTGCCAACAGGCGGGCAAACGTGGGTGTCTCCTGTGTGGGTTAAGATGGGGGTGGGATGGGTGGGCGCTGCCCGATGCTGCGGGGGCGTGCCCTGAAGACGCGCTGGTGAAGGGGTCGGACAGGGCGCCTGCGGAGACCCCTCACGGGCCAGCGGTGTCCAGAGTGGGAGGCAGGCGCTGGCTGTCCGGGGTGAGGTGGGGCTTGGGGGGGTCACAGGGTGTCTTCCTTGGGAGGATGGAAAGTCTCAGAATTAAATGTTGGTGTTGATGTCGCAGTACTGTGACTGCTGACAACCATCGAATATTTGGGGCACGTAAATTTCATCTCAAGAAAACTCTTGAAAATCGGGCAAACAGCAAAATAAAATTATATCTGGCTTTGGAAGATACTCTGGAAGAATCAAACTGCATGACTGAAAAAAAAAAAGGGTGAATGTGCAAAGCATGGCCTTGGACACACGGCGCCGCGGCCGGGCCCCAGCATGGCGAGGCGGCTGGGGTGCATCGGCGCGGAAGATGCTGGGGAGCAAGTCTTCCCACCATGGGGGATAGCTGCACTCAGTTAAAAAAACTGCAATTGTTAAAATAAAAACTGACTGTTTTGAAAAGGCAGGTCAGTGCCGCCATCATGGGCAGGGAGTGGGGAGGGCCTTGACGCCGCTCATGGAGGGGAACGGTTGGTCAGTGCCGTCTGACTGACCTGTCTGTGCCGACATAGTGAGCGATTGCAGCGTCACAACGGGGGCAAAAGTCGGAGGGCCCAGACACCCCGCGTCCTTTAGAGAGCATGTCCACTCAGACCGGCCGGCGAGGGCGGAGGCCTGGCCCCAGCACTGTCCCCGGGGAAGGCCGCGGCTCCGGGCGCCGTGGCGGGCCAGCGGTGTTGAGGGTGGGCATGGCCATGCTCCAGGAGGCGGCCTCGCAGCTCTAGCCACCCCGGCGAGGGCCCTCGTGCGCAGGGAGCTGCTGCGTGACTCACCAGGTTGGCCAGGATGTAGTGGTAGCCGATGCCGTTCTTCTCCAGCTTCACAATCTGCAAGACACAGTGCGAGGCGCCATCAGGCACTGGCGGTTCAGGCCACCACAGCAGCCACAGAAGCCACGCGCTCGGTTGAGTGTGACAGTGCGCCCCGCTGTGTCCCCAGTGCAGATCGGGGTGCCCACTCCCGTCTTTCACAGATGAGGGGCTGAGGCAGAGTGTGGCTGAGGAAGGGCCCAGGCCAGCTGCTGCCATGTGGCAGGTGAAAGGTTTGGAATCAGTTTGGTCTGCGTCCAGGCCAGGAAGCACTCTCCTCACGCTAAGGACTCGGCTGGAACACTCGCTGCTTCTTCCGGAAACCTCCCCCCGACATGGCGAGTCCTCCCTGGGGGGATCTTATCCCCTCATTGAATTCCTCAGCACTGTCATGACAATATCTGCTGCTTAGATGGACAGGTGGTGGGTGGGTGAGTGGGTGGACAGATGGACAGATGGTAACTGGGTGGATGGATGGTCAGATGGTGGATGGTGGTCAGATACGTAGGTGGATGATTCCACTCTAGTTGTTGACCTTCCACCCTTGCACGAACCATACCCACCTTCAAATTTCATGCCTCCTTCCCTGTGCCGAGAGAGCACCCAGACAGTAATGGGCCCCCCACCTGCGTGCCAGAGGGAATGCCAGCATCGTCTGGCCCTGCCACCGAGGAGCATGGGTGGTCCTGGCCCAGGGGGGAGGTGATTTTCAGATCCCACAGCAGTGTGGACGCCGTGTGGGGGACTGACTCTGAGCCTTTCCATATGGTGCCTGATGTAGTTAGCCTTTGGGGCCAGGCCCCAAGCGGGCCCCACGCTGCATGTCGGGCTCCCCCATCACTGCAACGGTGTGTTTGTGAAAGGATGTAGCAGAGGATTGCCTGGGCCTCCAGACAGCGCAGGACCCTCTGGGACGCAGGCCTTGTGGAGTCCTCGCTCCGTCTACAAGTTAACTTGATCTATTTCTTTCTCTTTCTAATCATCAAATGGGGTCCATACCCTCTGCGCGAACCTCTCCCCTGCTCTGTGGTGGGATCATAAAGCGTCTGAGAAGCATTTGGGTTTCTTGAACTGAATAAATTTTCAAGGTTATTAAAATCCACATTCAGGCATCTACTTAATTGGATGTATGTGCATAGAGGCTCACAGATTTTTTATATAGGGAATAATTAAATGCAAGTGCACACAATGAAACCTGCCTAACTGTGGTTAGATCGTGAAATTCTGACCACAGAGCTTGAAATCCTACTGGGGTGATAGTTTTATTAATAATTCTTCATTACTTTCTCATCTTCTTAGCAGACGCTTTGCTGCCCTTTCAACGGTGAGATACCTTTATCAGAAACCTATTCCATTTCTAATAAACACACAGAATAGCAGATAAGAGATATTCCCAAGCTCAGCACATGTGGGATGCTCAGGTAGAGTCTCTGCAAGGTGAAATTACAGGTGGAAACACAGGGCCCGGTGACTTCTGCCTGGCGAGGATGAGCTGTCCAAGCTACACCTGCCTTCCAAGCTACGCTGCTCAGCCACCTGCTGCACCGCCCCCCCACCCCCCACAGCCTTTGCAACGTGCATGGAAAGCTGACACTGTGGGTGGTGGGGCAAGACCCACGAGGCCTCCCTCCAGAGGCATGGCCTGCTGGGCAGGGCGCACCTGCACAGGTAGCCAGATCAGCACACACAGGACTCAGAGAGCGGCGTCGAGGGGGTGTGTCCATCCCGGGAGCCTGGGCTCACTGGCTCCTTTCAAAGCTTCTTCCCAAAGTGCGCGATTCGCAGTCTGTCGGGAAAGCCCTCTGCATTCTCTGATGTCATAGGTCCCAAGGCCACGGTCTCAGTCCAAGTCCTCTGGAAAACCTTCAGCTCATTCAAGAAGTTTTCCTGAGTGTGGCCTCTGCAGCCCAGCCGCGCGGGAGCCAGGCTGTGCATAAGGCAAGGCCCCGGGCCCTCCCTGGGCCGACCTGGTGTTGCGGTGGGGAGCGGGAGGTGACTATAGACAGGTGAGCGAGGGAGGTCTCGGCAGGCGAGACGCGCCTCGAAGACAGCAAGAGAGGGTGTGACGATGGGGCTGGTCTGGGCTCTCTAACCCTTTCTTAGCCTCATGGCCGCCTGCTCTCACGTGGTGTCTTATCTCTTGACAAGGTGCAGTAACCCTTGCTGCTCACCACCTCGTGGCTCCCCACTCCCCGCAGAGTAATTTCCAAGCTCTCGAGGGGTTTCCTGAGGAAGTCAAGCCCGTGCTCCTCCGTGCCATGGTCTCTGGGTGGAGGCTCGGTGCCCTTCTCTCTGCCCCGGGCCAAGCTGTCCTTCCTTCGGCTCAGAGCGGCTGCCCATGTGTCTCCAGCCCCACTCCCCTCCCGGGCTCTCTTAGCGCCGTCATTGGCCCCCTGTTCTTTCCATCCACTCAAAACACTTTTTGTTGACTGCCTGTAAGTGCCCAGTCCTCTGGAGACAGCAGGGAGGAAAGAAAACACCCCCGGCCCTGGTGGAGCTGGAGACACATGCAGGGACCCCCCGTTTGGAGTCTGGAGTCGCTGGGTCCTTCCTCATTTGTATTGGGTGACAGACCCCGCCGCTGAGCATGGGGTTGTCAATGCTCACGTCAAGATGTCGGGCTGCCAGTTGGAGTGGGCAGTCTAGGCCCGCCGTGGTCACCGGTCAGTTGGCTGAACCCAGGGCGAATCATTGACCACTTGGACCTTAAGCCATCTTTCTGGAAACTGAGAGTCAAGTGGTCCGTTAAGTGTTTCTGAATTTCACTACTTTGGTCTTACATTTAAGAGAAATATCCGGCTCTTTAAAATGTTGATATCTGAGGATCTGAACACCCATAAACAAGCACTTCCTTACAAAATGCAGCTTTGTTCTTTGACAAAAATGTAGTTTGGCTGAAAAGTTGCCTTTTGAGAGGCTGAGCCGTGTAGACAGCCCCTGTGCCGTGTAGACAGGCCCTGCTGGAGTTCACTCGCTGCCTTTCTCGCTACGAGTCGCTACGAGTCCTGGGGCACGCGGGAGCCCTTGTTTCTCCATTTACGCCGGAGAGAACTGGACGGGAGCTGTTCCCCGGCTGGTGTGCGGGTGCAGGGGCTGTGTGTGGTGAGCCCGGGGGAAGGAGACAAGGGCTGCGGTCCTCGTCGTCGTCAAGCCGCCGTCCTGTAAGAACACCTCGTGGGCGTTGGGCCCTTTCACCTCGCGTCTCGTCTGACCTTTGTGTGAGATCTGTACGCTGGCGGCCGTCCCCGTGTTACACATCCCTTCGTGCCCTCCGCGGGAGGATCGTGAGACGCAGCACCGCCTGGCACGGCGAACAGCCACGGGGCGTTGTTTACACGTTACTGGTTCCAAGAGCTTCGTGTACAGACGCCGCTCGCCAGAGCTGCCGCGACGGTGGTGTGGTGGTGCCGAGGAGGATGATGGTGACGCCGTTTTTCAGATCAGTAGCCTGAGGTGGTGCAGGCCTGGAGCCGGGCGGGCGAGGTAGAACCCCAGCTGGGCGGGCTCTGGTGTCGGCTCTTCCCCTTCCCCTTGTCCCGCCGCATTCACCAGAGCCCACGTCCGCTTCCAGCCCAGACAACTTTGGGTTCAACGGAACCCGCTTTTGCTGATTTCCCCTCCTGCGAGGGGAGGCCAGGTCATCCTCGGCAGAGCAGAGCACACCGTTCATGCCTTTGAGGACCCCTGGCCCCCAGTCTCTCCTGCGGTGCTGTGGAGGCCTGTGGGTGATTGCTGGGTGCTGCTGGGGTTCCCCGTGGGGCTCAGGGGCCTCGAGGGCCATCAGCAAGCTTTGTCATGTTGTCAGGCTCCTGAAGTTACCATCTTTAATCCATAGCTCTGTTCACAAGTGGTGCAGCCCCCCCGAGCACATGTGTGTGAATGCGAAGACCAGCGCTGCACACGCACACAGGCACGGCCTGCTGTTCTGAGACCAGGGGCGCCAGGCCTAGAGATGTCAGCTTAAAGGCTGTCAAGGTCCTTGTTTCCTCTCACAGAATGCGGGGCCGTTGATTCCCCAGACACGTGAGTGTCACGGAAGGGCAGGAGGGTGCCGCTGCCACCTGGGGCTCAGGTCACCAAGCCAAGTGGATGAGATGCCTGAGGCTGGGTGGCGGTAACAGGCCCGAAGCCCAGCCGGGAGCCGGCTCCGCAGCCTGCGCCTGTGGGGAGGGTGCTTCCTGGACTCTGAAATGCAGGGCCGCTTACTTTTAACACTGTGGGGAAGCCCTGGAGCAAAGTTTTTGGTCAGCTGGTCTGTGGGCCACCCGAAGCCCACGGGGAGGCGCCTGTTGCGTGTATATTTCCTAGAATTTCAGAATTAAAGCTGATCAGCTCCAGGCGCTAAGGAGGAAAGTCTCAGACCTCGCAGAACTCTAGACCCCCGAGGCCCCAAGAACTCAGCAGCTCCTTCTGGAACCACAGCACCCCTGCCCCCGGCGCTGCCCGCTACCTGGCCCAGGATGGCGCCGAGCCGCTCCGACTCGCAGTCCACCACCACCAGCCGCTCCTTCTTCTTTTCCAGGTCCTGGAAGAGCACCCGGTAGCCCTCCTCCGTGGTCGTCAGGATGTTGACCGCCGTCACCTGCCAGTTCTTCTCGGCGGCTGTGTCCAGGACCTTCTGCAGGACGGACAAGCCTGGAGGGAGGGTGAGCAGGACAGAGAAGTGCAGTCAGGGCACAGACGCCGTCACCCTGGCAGGCTCCACCCCAACCCGTGCCACCAGGCTCTGCTCCCCTGTCTAGCCCTGCCAGCCCCGGGGCTGAGGGCGGGCGCTGGGCCTCGTCGTCCCTGTCCCCAGAACACAGGTGAGGGGCAGTATCCTGGCTGCGTGACCTGGCCTGGGCTCGTGACCTCCCTGAAGTTTAGTTTCTTCACCTGCAGGGGTGGTGACGCCACATCCACTCCTGCTCGTCTAGCTGGCAGGCGCAAAGGGTTTCAAAGTATCAGTTGTCACTGCCACCAGGCTCTCGGTAGCCTTGGCCTGCGTGTCTACCTGGCGTCGGGACAGGTGCTCCCTGCCAGTCTTGCCTGGCCAGTGCATGTGCCCAAGGCCTGGCGCTCTGTCCTCGCACGGTGGGGGCGCAGCGTGGGTGCAGCTAGCTGCCCTCCCCTTATCCTGGCTGAGCAAGCGGGGCCCTTTCGTCCTTCTGCTCCATTCTGGGATGCAGGGGCGGGTCCGCTAGCGGTGCCACTTTGCGGCGTGGCCACAGGCACAGGGGCTGCGAGCTGAGCCGCAGCCAACTTCCTCCTGGGGGCGGGCGAGGGACTGACTTTGGCGTTTAGGGGTGCCTGGGGCCGTGTCCCTGCCTGGAGGCCTGGGGGGCTGGCTTTCTTGCTTCCAGCTTCTGCAGGACACTTCCCCTCGGGGCCAGCACATCTGGCCAAGCTTCTCACATTGCGCTCTGGCAGAAGTGCGCCTGCCCGCCTCGCCGCCAGGACCATGTGACTCTTGGGCCCGCCCAGATATCGCAGGTGCGTGCTGTTTTAAGACCACCTGTGCGCAGTCTAAACCCCACCTGAGCCCTCCCTCCAGCTCCCTGACAGCTCTCGTCCACAGTCTCCAGGACTCGGGGCACGGATGGCTTTGGGGGCGGATGTGGAGGCCGAGGGGTGCTTGCACTCAGGCCGAGTCAGTCTTGGTGCATAGACGTTCTGTCTCCCCGTGAAGGGCTGGACCCCTCCGCAGTGGCCAGCGTGGCGTCCGGCCTAGGAACCACCCGCAGGCTGACCACCCTGTTTCCCCTCGTTGGTTCTTTTGTGTCTAGCGCCTGATGCGCTCGAGCCCTGCGTTTCTGGAACGCGGACTGTCTGGGCTGTTCAACTCCTGTCTCTCTTCAGCTGGCGGGCGCTGCGGGGGCGTCCCATTGTTCTCCCAGTTTCGTAAATGGGGAAATTGAGGCTCAGAGCAACTTAGTCACGGTCCAAGGTCACACGCTGACAAAGGGCAGAGCTCTGAGCTCCGAGGCCGGTGGGGATGTTCAGAGCGAGGCCCTTCTGCCACCCCCGAGAAGACCCTCTGGTCTGACCTTATTTCTCTGGCTTGGCCACTTCCAAGGTCTGTGCTTCCTTATGTCTGACTCAGCCCTCTGGGGACGCCCTCGCCGAGGCGTCTAAGGGGAAATTGTGGCAGTGAGAGGGAAGGGAAGTGGAGGGACCTGCCTGGCCTCCCCCACCAGCACGACGCCCGCTCCACTCCCCAAACCATTCCTGGTCAGTCTCCCGCAGGCCTCCTCTGATAAAACCTCTCTTTTGCCGAGGGTTCCTCTGCCTCAGTTTCCAGACCTTGCAAGCCGCATTTACTGATTCACACCAGTGGTGACGGAGGCCGAGCGGGACAGGCGATGTATGGGGCGGCGGGACCAGGCGGCCCGACTCCCGGGAGGAGGTGAGAGGAGGGATGGGCGCCTGGGCTGGCGTTGCCCTGTGTGGGGCCGAGGGCGGCTCCCGCATGCCCGTGAGTTGGAGGGGGCTCCTGCTTCCTTTTCCTTCACTGTACCCACGTGGAGGGATGGGTGTCACCCGCGCCCACTGCGTGGTCATTGCACAGTGTTTGTAAATTGAGCCATTGTGCCGCGTGCTGGATCATGGCGTACGCCACGTGTTTCTCGATTAAACTAGAGGAAAATGGGCGAGTCCTAGTTAGAGCGGTGTTTGGGCTGCAAGAGAGGGTGGTTTTACGTAGTACGATTTGAGGAAAGTGTATTCCAGAAAACAGGAACAGTAAAGGTGCATCCCATTTGGAAAATGGGATGTAGAATTAAAAATTTAGGTGGGAGCAGAATCAGAAGGGCCTGGGAGAGGTGGTGATGATGGGATGGTGGAGGTGATGATGGTGGGACGGGCATAGTCGTGGTGGTGATGAGAACAACTCAAACAGAGAGAGTAATTTGAGCTGGCGATACAGGCTATTTCTAGCCGTTCTCTTATTCAATCCTCACAACAATTTCTGAGGTCGATGCCTTTTGTCTTCATTGTGGAGACGAGGGAACGGAGGCTTAGGCGTTTCCTCCCCTTTCTGTCAATGGTCAAGGAGGCCCGGAGAGCTTGGAGGGGAGAGAGATCAGACTCAGGCCCAGGCCCGTGCCTGTCTGGCTCCGGTCTGTGTCCTAACAGCGTGCGTGGGCGTGAGCCAGTGCGGAGGTCCTGAGCTGGGCTCAGGACTCAAGGGAGCTTGGCGAGCTGCCGTGCGACATGGCGTTAAGAGGATTGCTCTCCTGAAAGGACGCGCGTCCAGGCACGAGTAGAGGTTATCAGTAGCTGCTGAAAGCCAGCCCGTGGAAATAAAGCATCTCTGGGTCACTCCCTACACCTTGAGGGGCACCATCCTCCTTCCTGCCGGCCACTTTCTCTCCATCCTGCACGAGTTTCCCTCCTGAGCCCCTGGCTTACCCCGGTCGGCATCGTAGATGTAGACAAATTTCTGCCACTTGTAATGGTCGATGATGCTGATGAGGGCATCCTGCAGCTCCGGGCGCAGCTGAAGGACAAACTGGTTGGACGTGTCCACGGGAAAGCTGGGCGTGATGAAGCAGACGTGGAGGGCCCCGCAGAAGGAGGTCAGCATGTTGACGGTCCTCCGCTCGTAGAACCCGAAGATGGCGTACACGCCTTTGGAGAACTGGGAACAGACTGCAGGGGGAAGAGAAGGGTCAGCGGGCAGGAGACCTGTGGCCAGGCCATCAGGTAGGTCCAAGGGAACTGTCCACAGCCCACGCGTCCCGCCCAGCCCTGCCCGTCGTCCGTCACGTGGCCACGGCCCGCCTGACCAAGCAGCCCACCCGCCCTTCCTGCCGGCCCACCGCTGTATTCAGCTGTTCATCCAGCCAACCCATCTGTGCCTTGCACTCGCCGCCCATCTGTCTAGAGCAGTTTGCCGAGTGCCAGTCCCATGCCAGATGTTGTCATGGTTACTGATCATCAACGCACACCAAGCCTGTGTGTGTTCTCCACAGGGACAGTGACCACGGGGAAGGGCCCCGGCTCATCTTGTAAAGGGGACACCCAGAGCTCAGAAGGTCATGACCGTGTCCAAGCTGGCTGTGCTCAGTCTTCTCTGAGTTGGACGGATATTTGGACCCAGCCCCAGAGTGTTTCCGTGCACAGCCCTGTTTCGAAGCAGAGCTTGACCACCCTATGGGAAGAAGACCCTGGGGCCGCCACCATGCAGGGCTGCCCCTCAGCTTCCAGGCCACTCCCCACGGCACTTGTCCAGTCCACTGAATGACCCCGGCCCGGCACCTGTTGGAGTGTCTGCTTGGCCCCCTGCACGGCCCTCCTGGGGGCGCAGGGGCTTGGACTCCAGTTTTGGTGTTAGGCACTGACATTTATTCCCTTTCCAGAAACTGGAGGGGTCTTTTAAATCAAAACCGAGCAAAGGCATTGCTTCCCGTCCTTGTACAACATGTGTCACAAGTTGTGCAGTTTCCCACTGGCCACGGGAATCCTCAGACTCCTGGGCTCCGGGCTGAAGACCTGCCGTCCGCTGGCGCTGGCTCCTTCCCGCCCGCCCGCCCTCCCAGAGCCTCTTCCCGGCCTCAGCGCCGCCCCCGCCTCGCCAGAGCTCCTTTCCAGCTCAGACCTCACCTCCTAGCGCAGCCTCCCTGCATCACCTCCTCCAAGTAGGGGCGCCAGCTCCCTCACCCGAGAAAGTCTCCGTCGCACCGCCCAGTCTTATTTCTCCTGCTTTAATGATGATTATTTACTGTGTCAGCCTGTGGCTGTTGGGTTAATGCTGATGCCCCGGAGCCTGCGGCTGTGACCCAGAGCCGGAGCACCCCGGCCGCGGGCGGTGTCCAGTCAGCAGCTGTTGGGTGGAGACACTTTGAGTGCTAAGGAGAGGCCCGCAGGCCCCCACGGGATGAGGAACCCCGGGCCGCCGCCCCCCTGAGTGGCGACTCCCCCGCCCTTGGGTGCCTTTGCCCTCCAGCCCGGAGGACGCAGCGGGGAGCAGGCAGCGTCTGTAAGGTCTGTTGTAGTTGCCGAAATGGAGATCTCCGTAAATACGGATTTCTCCACCAGGAAGCACACGCTGCATGTCATTCCCTGCACGTTAAATATAGATTTGTCAAGAAGCCCATCCATCACCCTGGCGACGCGCAGGGAGTGCGTGCGGACCCTGCTCAACGCTGCCCTCGGCTCTGCGCGCGGTTCGGCCCCTGCCGTGGCACACCCTCGCCCTGCGGGTGCCGGGCCCTTGCTCGCGGCCCCACGGCCCCATGCCCAGAGGGGCTCCGGGGCCCTTGCGGCCGGCCTTTCTTACCAGAACCCTAGAAGTCGGGGAGGTGGGACGGGACGGGCGGGCATCGGCCGGTCCTTAGACCCTGGGGGTGAGGCTGTTCCCTTCTCACATCACCTGCTTCTTTCCCCGCTTTGCGAATCTCACTCCTTTTAAACTGAGCATCGTGTCCTCCCTCTGAGGCTAAGTGTGAGCTGCCACCCCGGCGCCTGGAGTCACTGAGGTGGACCCCGGCGGGGCTGCTCGGCCACTGACCCCAAGCCCACCCCTCGTTGCTGCGAAGCCTGCGCAGCAGCAGGAAGCCAGAGGGGCGGGGGGAGGGGCACTGGGGCTGGTCCCAGACGGAGACGCGGAGCTGCATGGCTGGAGCGGCGGGGGATCGCTGGGTGGTGGGAAGGCAGGGCTCAGGCAGATCAGCAGATGCTTGAGACCTGGACGGGCCGGCAGAGGAGAGCCGTGAGGCCGAGGCTGGGCAGAGCCCCACGTGCGGCCGGGACGCAGGGTTTGCGGGAGCCGAGCGTCTGTGACTGTCTTGATGGACGTTCCCCGGCACGTGGTCTCCGAGAAGCACCGGACTGGATGCCGGTGAGCTGACGCGTCTCCGCACCTACTTGTGTGACCCTGAGCGAGCCCCACGCACCCCTGTGCCTCCGTTTCCCCGTGTGTGAACTCCTGGTCTGGGTCCTGGACAGTGAACTTCTCTTCAGGCTGTGACGTTCTGGATTGTTATCTAGGTGACTGGACGGCGTGGACTGACTGACCTCAGTGACCCGCTGGCAGAGCGTCAGTGCACACTCGCACGCCCAGACACCGACAGAGCCTCGGGGCCCGCGGGTCTGGCTGTCACGGAGTCCAAGCACGAGTCTCCTGGCAGGCGTCTGAGTCTGCGCTTCGGTAGGCTGCACCCTCGACTGTGCAGTCACCCGGCAGAGGGCGGGGGCCGAGGCACGTCAGGGCAGGCCCGAGAACCAGGACTCTGCCCAAGGGTCCACTGTGAAAGGCCCAGGACCCCCGGCAGAGCCCACCCCAGGGCTGTGACGCGAGCTTGCGGGGGCCGCCCTTTGCTGCTGTTTCCTGGCAGGGAGGACAGTCTCCTCCCTGCACCACCCCCTGGACGCCGAGCATGACCCCGCGGAGCCCCAGTCCCGGGCCTGCTGAGAAGCCAAGGAGCTCAGCCCCCGCCCTCCGCTGACAACAGCCGGATGACTTGACGCTTTAATATCTCACAGCTGACATTGTTCTTTCACCAGACACTCCACGCCGTGCCGAGTGCTTTCATCTGTTATCATGTCTGATTTTATAACTGCTGCGGGTGCGAGCAGGAGTCAGCAGCACCCTGAGTGACAGGCCACCTTGCGGGCGCCTGCCCCTGGGCCAGGCCGGCTCTGCCCTTGAGGTCCCGCACTCCTGGACCTCAGTTTATCCACTTTGTCCATGCACTTGAACTGGAAGGTGCCCTAAGGACACTGGCCAGATGGCCCTCGGCATCTGGGGATAAGGCTCCCTCGGTGTGCCTCGGCCTGGCTTTGCCGAAGCCCAGGTGCTTTTCTTAAGCAACTCAGACATGCGCATTGATAGTACAATGTACTGGTGGTGCGTGGGGCTCTGGAAGTCCAGGGCTACCGTGCTGTGGCCATGAGGGCGCTGCTGCCAGTGCATGAACTGTGGGGGTCCCACATAGACCCCACACACTATGAGGCATGGGGGCCACAGAGCCTCTGTTCCAGGTGCTTGGATGAGTTTGTGATTTTTGACAGATGTGCAGATTGGGGTTCAAGAACGGGAATGTTTCAGGCAGAAGGGGGGCTGGCCTTCCGGAGGGCAGTGTGCTTGGTGGGGAGAGCGGACCTGGAGCCTCCCTGGAGGTCTTGGTGCGTGGATCTTGGCGCCTGTGAGGCCTCCCTCACCTTCTCCGGTTTAGAATCAGGAGTCAGAGAGTCAGGCCCGTCGAAAAGCTGATTTCCTGTGGCTCGTATTAAAAAACCTCAGAAACAGCAGGTGCTGGCAAGGATGTGGAGTAAAGGAGCCTCTTACTGGGGGGTGCAGACTGGCCCAGCCCCTCCGGGGGCCTGGGGGGTTCCGCCATCTTGAACATGGAGCTGCCAGATGACCCAGAGCTTCCACCCCCGGGAGTCTGCCCAGAGGTCACAGCGCACTGACTCGGAAGCAAACCCCCCCCACCCCGTGTTCACTGCAGCACAGTCACAGCAGCCGAGGCCCGGAAAGGACCCCATGCCCCAAACAGGAGTGGCTGGAGAAGGTGGGGCCTACGCAGTGGACGCTCCTCGGCCATCAGAAAAGATGAACGCTTGCCTTTCGCGGCAGCAAGGATGGGGCTGAAGGGATGACGCTCAGCGAAACAGTCGGAGGAGGACGAATGTCGATGGTCGCCCTGGCGCGTGGAACGTGGAGACACGGAACAAGGGGCAGCAGGAGGACAGCACTTGCAGGCTGACCGCAGCCCGGGCACCCTGCGGGGAGGGGCGGGCGAGGGGACGGAACGGGGCGGGAGGAGCACGAGGGCCGGGAGACGGGCCGGGGGGCCATGGTGGTGGGGAGCCATGGGACCATACCCGAGGGGGACAGCGAGAGCCGTTGGGGCCGCCTCAAGTCACACGCGGGGACACCAGCCATGCCCCGGGCTGTGTTGCCCCAACTGAGAGCTGGATCCGGCCGCCGGACCTGCCGCCCAGCCCAGGAGCTGCCCGCTCACCGCGTCCGCCTTTGCCCGGGCCAGCACTGGCCGGCGGGGAGGGACGCCGCACCCGTGACTCCCAGCGTTACTCCGCCCTCCGGGGCTGTGACCCACGTGGCGTTCCAGGCTGGAGAGCCTTGGGGAAACCAGGCGCCAGAGACAGCCTGCCTGTCAGGTTCGCGTGGGGGCGCAGGGGCCGTGGGGTGCGCCTGGCTGTTCAGGGCGCCGAGCACACAGGAAGGGGTTACGGGGAACAATGGAAGAGGCTGCTTGAGGCGGCCATGGGGACGAGGGTGAGCGGGCTTGGTGGAGCTGTGGGCGTCCTGCCAGGCTCCGAGGAGCCGGGGTCCCCTCACGTCCACACCTCAGCAGTCCCGGCGCTGTCATCTCAGAGGCGCAACCACAAAGTCATGCTCGAGAGACTCGTCGCTTGCTGAGGGTCCCTGCCGTCCCCGAGGCAGGCTCCGCGGAGGGCGAGGCCTGTTCTCTCCCTGCAGCGGGTGAGCTTGGGGCGTGACCCTGGCAGGGGCCGGCTGCCCGCCTGTGCCGTCTGCCACCCACCAACTGCCCCTCTGCCTCCCGGGCCGGGCACCCTGCCGCCAGAGGCTAGGGCTGGGCCTGCATTTCTGTGTTAGTTCGGATGCTTTGCTTTCCTTACAGCCCACACGAGTGAAATCACCTGGTAGTTATCTCCCTTGC